TCCGCATTCATTAGAAGTAATGTAAAGGTATTCAATACCATTCTCACAATGAGTTTCAACATGAAAGCCATTGTCACGGATGTCTTTGAAACTTAACAACGTTCGAGTAGCTCTAGGTGCATATAGAGCATTTATGGCTTTAATCAATGTACCATTAGGGAGTAAGAAAATGGCAGTACCACGTCCTTGAATTACATGTAACGAACCAATCATTGTTGTCACAGATGAATTATCGGCTACTAAGTTAACAAATAGTTGCCTATTTCGCAAAATGGTATGGGTAGTCCCACTATCTATTAAGCACTCAACTTCACCTCAATTCATGCCTGATAGGGGTATGTGCGGCAGAACAATGGGTGGGGCTGGCTAGATCCTTCCGATTTGATTTGCAGATGGGGTTCTTTTCCTCTGCGATGCAGTGGAGAACGGCGATGCGATGCACAGCGGCAGAGATCGGCGAAAAGAAAAAAACAGGGGAGGGAGGCGGACGGAAAAAATTAGGGTTAAGCTCGTGCTGATAACGTGTTGTGGGAGATGTCACTTTCTCTATTGATAATAGCTCCCTTATATAAGGAAGAGCTTCGTAGGGTTTTACAAGAGAAGGCCCACGGGCCAGTACAACTTATTACACAATATAAAGTAAATTCTATCTACACAACAGCACACTAATTTACAAATTCCTTCAACACTCTCTTCTTGAGTATTTTTCAATTTTAATTTTTTGTATTCAAAATCGGTAAACTTGGTCATTAATTAAATAAAATATATATTAGATATGAATACAAAAACTATTTTATTATATTTATTTTTTGGAACGTTTTCAAAATATTATTTTATCTAAATAATATACCATGTAATTTTTGTTTAATTATAGGTAAAAAATCAATTATGTTTGACTTAAATAAATCAAAACTGAACAAATAATCCACGACGGATGTAGTACTTCTTTTGTCCTACTATTCAGTGATAGTGGGACAGAGTAATTCATATTAATGTTAAAATGTAATTATATTAATGTTACTAGTAATTCATATTTCACATTGACTGGAATTATATTAATGTTAAAACTTAAAAAAAAGTAAGAATATATACAGAGTAATTCACATTAATGTTAAAATGTAAAAAAATGATTGTGAGACACATGAAACTTACTAGTACAATGTAGTAGACAGTCCCTTGTATTGAATATATATGTGAGGACAAAAGTAGTGAGACATATTAAAAAATTAAAAATATACAAAAATAGTGAAATGGATAGGTTATGAATTTTTTAGAGTAGAGTATGAACTATTTTTTGGTGTTTAGTAAAGCCAAAAGACATATCAAATTTGATATTTCCAGATATCATAAGAATTCCAAAATTGAGAGCTTCGATATCATCCGAATTTGAAATATATCAATATGGAAGTTTGATATCTCCTTCAATCGTTAATCATTCCTTGACATCGACTACCATTGTCACCGTCAACCATCGTTGTTGCCTGCCACTCCAGCTATCTCTAACTAAGTCGTAATTTTAAATCTCTTCAAACAACTTCATTTCAGATTTTAGAACTCATATTTCTCTCAAATTTTAAAAGTCACATCATATAATCTAACTATATATAATGCTAAGAGAGCATTGTGAACAGTGTTCCCGCTCTTTTTGCAGCAACAGTGCGGGCTGGCTGGGCTGCTTACTATTGGGCCGAAAATAAGTCCATTATTGCCACTATTTTTAGAGTCTAATGCATGCTAGGTGTGAGACACAATAAAGTAAACAAATCACTTTATTGAGCCACCCTTTACATCAAATCAAGAACTTAAAAAGATTTGCACAAATCAAGAACTTAAAAAGATTTGCACAATCTAAGCATTTAATGTGCTTCCAAATACTTGATTCACAAAGCCATTATATATTCACTATGCGTGAATACTTTTGAATGTAACACCAATTCCTTCTTCCACCATATTTGAGTTCTTTTGCTTCCTTGAGATGGCCGAAAATTCTCAAAGAAATTCTAGGACAATGTTTACTCCGATTTCCGAGCTTGACAACAACCGTTCAACTTGGATCCTCAAGTTAAGGGCTATTCGTGTCTACTTTGTTCCAAGGTGGGCTAGAGGCGGAGATTCTATGGAGATCGTCTTTCACGATGAGCATGTATTATATTCACGAACTTATTTCATTTTTTTATCAATTACATTACTTACATTGTATCACTCAAATTGCAAATGTGTCACTCAAATACTCATAATATCTACCATTTCTAAAGGGAACGAGGATTCATGCACATCTCAACCGTCCGGAAAAAAAGAAGTTTGAAAGCCAAATCACCGAGGATGGTGTTTATGCCATTCGAAATGTGCATGTTCACGACAACTATCAAAGTTTGAAAACAACCGCAAATGATAAGCTCTTGGGTTTTTTCAGAGATACTGAAGTGAAAACTTTGAATCGGAATGATTTTCCACGGATCATGTTTGATTTAAAACCATTTCCAGTTCTTCAAAGCCAACCATGTTTGAATGATCAAGTTTTGACTGGTATTATTTCATACAGAAAAATTTTAAAACTTCTTCATTTCTTTTTCAAAGATTAAGCATATTTATTTCTTTAAAATTCGTATGAATGAAACAATATATGAATCTGCCACCACACTTTTTAAAAAAAAAAATTGAGCCCTTCGAAAATTTGTTCAGTTTTTTAAACAGTTTCATACATATGAAAATTTATAACCCGTATTATAAAATATGTCTCAACATCTTTATATCAAAAAGAGTTTTTAGATCAATCATACAAATTCCTTATATTAAGAGCTATATTTATGCAGACGTGATTGGAAAGATTGTTGCCCGAACTAAGGTTCAAACGAACATTACTAGAGCCGGAGATCAAAAATTCATGGAAGTCACACTTGAGGATCATGAGTATGCATATAAATATGAGAATAATGTCAATAATAGAAATATAATTTATTCAGATTTGAGCAATGAAATGATACTATAGGGGAAATCGATTGGGATGCACTCTATGGGGAGAGTATGTGGATCGTTTTTTGGATTGTTTAACCCAAAATGCTCAAGAACCGGTGATCATGTTGTTGAGCTTTTGCAAACCACGGCGTTATATGGGTAAATTATTTCTTTTATTTTGTGATTTAAATACTTTAATGATGGATATATATAATATTTACATCGTATGTTTATAGGTACTGTGACCGTATCTTCTGCGTTTCATGTTACGAAGATGCTTTTCGATGGTAACTCTCCAGAGGTCAACGCATTTAGAGCAAGGTATATTTTTAAAAGTATAAAAAGTGAATTAATTTTATATGATGATTACACCTCCTCATCTAAAATTCTTTATGTATCCAGATTACCTCTACAAGTGGATGATGTTGGAACAATTGGAAGTATCGTTTTAACCGCTGGAGCTGATGGGGATGAAGGTGTTATCAAGACTACCACGATCAAAGCACTCTTGGACACTACAAAGGTGACGTGTTAAAAATTCTAAATTTAATGTTCAAAAGTCTTATATAAAAGTCTTAAAATTTGTGTTTGTTGTTTTATAGCCCGGTCCCTACTGGATTGTTGGTAAGATTGCTTCGATAAATGATTTGGGCGACTGGTGCTATTTGGGATGCACCAAATGCAACAAAAAGGTTGTCCCTGATGGTGATAAGTTCAGGTGTACGGGATGTAACACTACCATGCTGCATGGAGTGTACAGGTGAGCATCGTTTAAAAATAATTAAAATTTTATAAATTTTGATGTAATTAGTACTGAAATTTAAATATAACAATACTTTGTGTCTTAGGTTCAAGGTCAATGTTCGGGTCTATGATTCCACCGGTCATGTTTCATTCGTCCTTTGGGATAGGGAGTGCAAGGAAATTTTGGGTGCAAGTGCTTTTGTGCTTAGGGAAATTATGCTTGAGGTTTGAAATAAAGCAATATTCTTTAATTATTTTATTACTGAATCGTCACTATAATCAATAACCAAATAATTCTAACTTATTTCTTATTGTTCTTTTCTTCAGAAAAATATGGACCCAAAT